TTTTGGCCATAAGACCTAACATTCCTCACACATGAACTTGGGCAAAGACACAAACTGATGCCCACAGGGACTTCCAGCTCTCTGGTTCTGCAAAGCATAATCCGGTTCCGTCCCACTAAGACCCTCCACTGCCCCGTTTCAGGGCAGTGAGCCTCCTTTCCTGGCATGTGGGACAGAGCCATGGCCTGTGCACACTCCTACAGATGAAAGGTGACACCAGGCAGCGCCATGTCCATTGTTCATCTTCCCATTGCTCCAGCTCCTCCCCTGTGTCCCTGTCTCGTCTGGTCGCTGTGCTGGAGGCTGTGGGGGCACAGAGGGCCACCATGGGCCTTTCCTGGTGGGCCGAGGGGAGACTCGTACAGAAAACAGACCAGGTCACCGGGTTTCCTTCCTGCTCAGCCGACCACTCTGCCACTCACTGTGTGTGTTCAGTCCGGTACTTCACCACCACCCCGCTCCTCTGGGCCAGGACAAAGCCTGCAAAGCCAGCTGCACCCCTCCTACGTACTCCCCGGCATCAGGAGATGTGTGCTGGAGCAACAGCAGGAAGTTAAGCCTCGCGATCTGCAGTTTCACCGTCTGTGAAGCCGGAGTCTGACAACACGGCATCACCCCACAGGGCCAGCAGATGACACACATTTGCTCCTCTTAAGGAAGTGTTCTTGTCCCATGTCACAAGAAAGACTGTCAAGAGAAGCAAAGCCGAATTCCTTCAGGAGGCACAACCAGTAACCAGCAGAGCTGGGCCTCTGAGCCAAGCACCCTAGACGTCATGGGCTCAGGAAGTGACATGGGTGGCAGAGAGGTGTGCATGCACTGAGGAACAGGGCAGGTGTGCAGTCCTCACTGGCTCGCACACCAGTTGGGCCTTGCCCATAACCAGTCGGCCGCAGGACTGGCCTGGGCTGACCCCACCAGAGTGTGAGCAACAGCTGGATTTGAAATTAGTTTGCTTGCTGGCCTTTTTTTCTCTATCCCTCCACAGTTCTTGGCTTTTGAAAACTACACCCAGCGCAACTGCTTGTGGGTCACTGTCTATGTCCCTTCCCTGTTGTTCTGTCACAAGGCACTTCCTTCGGGCATCTCCAAGTTGAGTTCAAAAGGTTGGGACCACTCACATCCATCACACAGAATTCACAAAGCCTACAACCGATTTGATCAATTGGCTAAGAAATTAATTTTGTCTGCCCCTGTGGAGAGGACTAGCTGATGTGCATCAGTAGAAGCGAGCTACATCTGCCGGTGGATGTAGGTGCCATCATTTTTCACTTCCTTGAGGGCTGCGAGATGACAGAGGTGTGAACTAGTCCTGTAGGTGAGCTCTCAGGGCCAGCAATGATGGTTTATGTTGTTTTCTTGGTCCACAGACTCCCACAGGATTTGTGGGAGCCTAATTCTCTTGGAGCCTTAGAAGGCCATTTCTTCTTACTCTCTTCTTGCCTGGCAAACAATACAGGGCACAGCAAAAAGAGCAGAGGTCTTGGAGACAGGAAGCCCTGAGTTGGAATCAGCTTCCCAAAGACATGGGGCTAATAAGTGGCATGCCAAAGCCACACTGTGACACATTTTCTTCTAGCAGAGATGTCTTCATGATGAACCCTGTCTGCTGTCTGTCCTGTCCCCTGGCCACTTCCTAAGAGCCTGGTGTGCAGACAGGATGAGTGGAAAGAGGGAAAGAGAATGGATGAGTGGAAGGTGGTATGATGAGGGCAGGGACCTCAGGAGGGATGGATAGTGAGGGGCGAGTGGGTAGATGAATGGTGGATGGATGGATGGGTGTATGATGAGTGGATGGGTGGAGAGATGACTGAATGAATAAATGGGTGCCTAAGTGAGTATATGGGAGATAAATGAGTGGCTGAGAAAATAGGTAGATAAGTGATGGCAGGTAGGTAGGAAGATGGGGTAGACTCAGGTGGGTGGCATAGATGGATGGACATGTAGGGATGGATGGAAGATGGGTGGGTGGATGGATAATGGATGGATGGTGGAGGGGTGGAAGGGGGGATGGATCAAGGATGAATGGATGGATGGGTAGATGATGGATAGATGGGTGGATGGTTAAGTGACTGAATGAAGGATGGATGGGTGGATGGATGGATGGATGGTGGGATACAGAAATGTGAAGATGGGAAAGTAAGTGAGCAGACTCAGGGATAAGATAGAAAATAAATGCATGAGGGATGTATTTATACATGGTTGTGTGAAATGTGATTGAAAAATATGGTAAAAGGGCCAGCCAAATAGCTCAGCAGATTAAAGCACCTGCAAGCAGGCACAGGGGCCAGGGAGTCGATTCCAGGCCTGCCGTGCCAGCCCCGCCCCCAGGGCACACTGAGACAGTAATTGAGACTGGGTGTGGTGGCATGCACCTGTAATCCCAGCTCTTGGGAGGCTGTAAACAGAAGAATCATTATGAATCATTATGAGTTCAACCTAGTAGTGAGACCCTGAACACCCTGTAGGCCCTTCCCTAAAAAATACAGAAAAAAAAAATATATATATATGGTAAATGTTTAGATAAAAAATTATAGTAAAAGATTTACTTCCATGAATCCCCCTCAAAACCCTCCCTGTACTGAAAACACACTCCTTGTGTCATTGTTGCCTCTTTCTGAAGCAGTTCTGGAAGTCCTTTCGTGAGTGCCTTTAGTTACACCATCATGGTCGCCTCAGTTTCTTGAGTTGATTCCAACATTTACCTTTCATAGTCACTTTGAGGAAGACCCAGCAGTCTCATGAGGCCAGATCAGGTGAATACCGGGGACAAGGGCACACAGCCGTGTTTTCATGAGTCTCCTTTCCAGCAAGTAATACAAAGTGGAGACAGCATCCATGTAGTTTTAATCACACCCTGGTCCCACTCAGGAAGGAGGACGCCAGAGCTGCTTCAGACAGCAGCAAGGTGAGGGGATGAGTGTGTTTGAGTTAGGGAGAAGATTGTGAGGGGGATTCATAGCCTGTGTCTTTTGCTGTGATGTATTGTTAAACTTTAAACATTCACTGCATAGTTTGGCCACCATTTATTTGTATGATGAGTAGGGGCTACATGGCTGGGTGGGAGAGGGGAGTGCAGGTGCAGTGGGAAAAAGAGGACTTGGGGGCTCCCGGAATCAGATTGGTGCCCAGCTGTGTGAGCCTGTGGGTGGATGGTGGACACCCTCAGAGGACACTTCCTTCTTGACTGTCTCCTGGCTCAGACACTGCAACTGGAGGTGAGCTACAAGGGACATGTCCTTCTTTTTCTGTGTGAAGCCTCCAAAGCTTGTGGTAACAGTGCCCAGAGGGCTGTCTCCAAGGAAGGCATACATGAGACTGCTGATGCTGCTTTTTCAAGGAGCTCTGGCCCAAATAATAGGCCAGGTGGCTGAAGCAGTGAGCCCTAGAGAGGATCAGGCCATTGCTGAAGAGTTTTTCGTACTTTCCCAGCCTTCCTCATTCATGTACTTTCATGTTAAACTTCCACCCTCTCTCCCCTTGCTACCAGCCTGCACACCCCACAGCAGAAGCCCATCCTGTGCTTGCAGCCCAGCCCCAAGGCCGGCTCATGAAGGAACTCCTCCCTGATCCACAGGACTCAGCATCCCGTGATCCACTCCCCTTTGATGCACAGGAGACTTTTGGGAAGCATTTTAGGTCTAATCCTGTAAAATAAAGTCAATCCCACAGAAGCCTGCTTTTAAGAGCACTGTAGGACCAGCAGTAATGATGATTGTTCCCAGCCCCAGACTAGGTATTTTACAGGCAGCCTCTTTGATCTCCCCAGCAAAGTGAGTGCTAGACTCTCCATGCTTTGATAAGAAACTGAGGCAAGAAAAGCTGAGCAACTTGACTTGTGTAACCCAAGCAGGCGTGCTGGGAGCCAGAGATGGAGCAGAATTCTTCCCTACCTGAAGCTCCTCCCCACCCCTTTAGATGTCTGAGCTCCTTCTGCCTGCCGTGCCCGTGCCCGTGCCATGCAGTGACAGTTGTGCATCTGAACTGTTCCAACACACAGGTGACCAGTTGTCCAGCTGGAAGGAAATGCAGTGTCCAGAGTCACACTCACTCAACTGTTTGCAGTGCGCATTTTTTCAGTCTGAGTGTTTGACTGCTGAGATATCCATGGGTGGGGTAGTCTGACCAGTGCCCTTCTGCCTTCTGAGCAGTGAGCCCTGTGAGGACAGACAGCATGACTGTTTTGCAGCCAGGGTACCCTGCTCCCAGGATGGCACTGGGACATCAGCTGGCACTCAGTAAAGATGAACAGAGTGAATGACGCATGGAGCTCGTCAGCTGTCATTGCTAACCGTGAACTTGGGCAGATTGCATGTATGACCTCCCATAAGCCACCAGTATGCATAGGGTAGGAACAACCATCCCCATTTCACAGATGGAGAAACTGAGGGTCTAGGTATTAATTCACTAATGCACCAGAGCTCAGCCCCCAAGGCCCATAGTTATTGTGCATCCAAGGCTCAAGGTGAAATCTTCCATTACACTTTGAACCTAGAATACCCCCTAGAGTCTCACACGTTCAGAGGTAGAGCCTCAGGGGAGTGATTGGGTCATGACAACTCTACATGCAGCAGTGGATTTGCCTGTGATTGGACTCACCATTGGGAGGTGATGGCAATTTTGGAGGTGGGGCTACTTGTGGGGAGTGCATCATGCAGTGTGATCTTGGGGGCTATGTCTTGGCCCCAGTCCCTTCCTCTTAGGCTACTCTTCCTAAGATCTGCCATAGGGTAACCAGCTTCCCTTCTATGGTGAGATAGCACCTCGGCAAGGTCCATGAACAGTGGAGCCAGCCTGTCATGGACTGACGCTTCTGAAACCGTAAGCCAGGATAACCTTCTCCCCCTTTCAGTTGCTGCTCTTGGGTGTTTTATCACAGGAACAGGAAACTAATGTAGCTCCCCATGCTCTGCTCATCCGTGGGGGGGGGGAGCATCAGACTGCTTCAGCTGTGCAGTAACAAGTAGCACTGACCACATCTGTCCTGTACTTGCTTGCAGGCTCAGGAGGCATCAGGGGCAAGGCGGCCCAGTCCTGGAACCCGAAAGCCGAGCCGGGAGCCAGGCTCAGAGCAAGCTCCAGGACGGCTGCAACAACAACATCCTGACCCACACCTGCCCGCAGGGCTGTAGCAGCTAACCCTCCACTGCAGCTGCCCAGGGGATGGCAGGCCTCTCCGCCCTGCCCATCCAGAGCCCCTCTCCATGCTATGATGGTCCCCAACTGGCCCTTGAAAACCAGAAAGAGCCCTGGACTTGGAGCCGGGAAGCCCAGGTCCCAGGTGATCTGCTCTGTGACCTTGGACACGCCCTCTCTGTGCCTCAGTTTTCTGCATCTGCCAAGGAACTTGAACAGCTCCCTTCCCCACCTCCAGGTCCAAGATTATTGTGAGGATCCAGTTGGCTAGCAGACATGCAAACTCTTGGGCATTCGTAAAATTGTTTATACTTGCGAAGTAGAACCCTAAGACTTGATACTGAGTCCCATCCCGACACAACGAAGCCATCCTCACTCTTCGGTTTGGCAGACCTAGCTTGATAGATGGCACTTTGGAATCTACAGCCCCGAGGGCATCTTAACCATTTCAGTCTTCCCTTTTACGAAGCACTGCTCCCTAGTCCTGGAGCAGCCTCCTCCAGCGGCTTCATTTGCATTCTCTGCTGGCTGCAGACTCCGACCTAGCAAGCTGAGTGCACAGATGAGCGGGCCCTGAGGTCTTGGTACTGCAGGAACAGGTCCATCCCCAAGGACGCCCAGCTTAGGACATCGGCAGCCTCCCAGTCCCATCTCCAGCACTAGGAGGACACAAAGGTGCCCTTTCAGGTGACTGCCGGCTCCCTGGTCATCAGTCATACCACAGTGCTGTCCCTGCTCCCGCAGAGCGCTACAGCAGAACACCTGTCCAGGAGAGCAGTAGAGTAGCCAGTCTGGGAGGGCCCAGACAGGCATTGCCAAGAGCAGCCTCTACTAGGAATGCAGGAAGTGTGGCTGCTTAGGAGGTACACTCTGCAAGGAAAATGGTTTTCCTCAAAGGCCAGCTACTTTACGATGAGGTCAGGACAGCTTGCCCTTGAACTGGGAGAGGCTGAGGCTTAAAAGGTAAATCAGAGTTTGCAGTTGGACTCATGTGCAGAATCCAGCCCTGCTAGAAGGTCTTAGGCAAGTCACCTAATTGTGTGGCCCACAGGTAACTCATTTTAAACTGGGGATAAAAATGGGGCCCAGGCATGGTGGCCCAACTATAATTCCAGCACTTGGGCGGCTAAGGCAGGAGGATTGTGGGTTGTAGGCCAGCCTGGCCAACTTGTGAAGACTCTCTCACAAAAAAGGAAAAATAAAAAAGTGAGATTCCACAAGGTCTGTACATGGCCCTCTCGAAGGGCAGATGACTCCTCGATTACAGCCCTTCTTCAGCAGCAACCTCTCTTCATCTTCAGCGCCATTTGCAGACTCTGTTTCCCAGACCTGGTATGGTAGTTTTCATGTAAAAAAGCCTCACTCCCGTTTCAGGTTCTCTTTGTTTGCTTGTTTTTCCTGCAGACACGGATGTCTACATCCCTGCTGAGCTCAACTGAGCTTTCAGTGTTCCATCCAGTTTCCACTTTCTAACACGTTATCTCAGCCCTCGGGTGGTCTGTGTTCCCTCTTCAGTTTCTTAAGAGGCATTTTAATGGAAGGTGCAGATTTAAAAAGTACTTGTTGCTCCCCCTTTGCACCGAGGCTGCATCTGGGTTGTGTCACCCACATCTGCTGTGTCCTCTGCCCCTCCGGGTCTCCAGTCCCACAGGTACGGTTCTCCTCTCCTGCTCTGGCTGGTGGCAGGGCCGCTCCTCTCCTCACTGTGACCTGGAAGCATCCAGGCCTCGAGCTGGCGAGCTGATGATGGGGCAGGAGACAGAAGGAGCCTGGGAGGCTCGAGGTTTCCTAGCTCTGTTTATGTGGCATTCATTGTTCAAAATAAACTATTTCTCCAACATTTCTTTCTACAGCTTGGCAGTTCCTTGAGGTTGGGTGGGAAGTGGGGGGCGAGGCCCTGCATCTGTGAGCTGCCCAGCTGTGCAGACTGGGCTGGGCCGAGGACCACACGGAGGGCAGCAGGGCCGAGGCGCTAGCACTTCTGCTCTCAGCCCAGCAGCCAGGCCTCTTGGCTTCTCCACAGCCTGCAGCCGCTACAACTGCAGCGTTGCACAGCTGTGCCAGAGGCCCTGCAGCCCACGATGCCAAAACTGTTCGCCATCTGCCTCTTCAGGGAAAGCGTTGTGGAGCCTGTCTAGAAGTCACACCTGGGGTCCTGCGAGCAGACGGCAAGTGCGCAGTCCCACCTGCTCACCTGCAGAAGCCAGTGTGTCTCGGAGCTGTCACAGTCTGGCTCGTGAGTTCCCACGTGCAGGGACACCCATGGCCCAGTCTGCGTGGCTGACTGCTCGACTTGTTCCTAACTGTGGCGCCCTTGTCAACCCCCCTTGGCAGGTGGGTGTTACAGAAAGTCCCGCTCTTCCTGTCTCCTTCCTCTCAGTTTCCACGGATCTTCCTAGCCAGGCTCTACAGAGTAATTCTGCTCTGTGCAGTTTTATTCCCACTGTCCTTGTCACATGGCGCTGCGATGGCCACATGCGGTCTCCTCCCTCCTGCAGGCGGTGGGGTCCACCAGAGGGGCTGACCCAGGGCCAGAGTGGCTGTAGGTTCTCAGTGGATGTGGAGGTTGCAAACACTCCCACCTTTGCAAGACCCAGGCCACCCTTAGCAAACACCTGTCACTTGGATAGTTCTGTCCACCTGGGAAATAGCTGCTTTGTCCAGGCCAACGGCAGACATGCACAATTAGCAACCTCCCTCTCAGGGTCTCTGAATTCTATATTTATTCTCCACCCCACCCCACCCACAACTCTAATTCTTTCCACTCTACGGGGCAAGAATTAGGGATAAGATTTCTGCTTACATGAAGCTGTCATCTTGGCTTGTCCTAATGCTATATGTTTAGGGGGCAGGGAGATGTTCAGTGGCCTAAGTGCCTGCTTGGCAAGCACAAGGTCCTGAGTTCAATGCCTGGTACCTCAAAAAAAAAATGCTATTTTTGTACCAACTTCTGTGCTACATCCAACAGCATTTTCTCAATATGAATGCATAAAAAATATGAATTCATTCCACACATTGCTACGTTGTGACTGTTTATTCCCCAAAATTCATCTACCAAGATTCTAGCCATCCCCAAGGTCATAGTGTGGGAAGTAGGGCCTTCAAGAGGGGACTAGGACACCACAAATGGGATTAGCGTCTCCTAAAGGAGACCAAAGAGAGCTCAATTCCCGCATCTATATGTGAAGACACATGGAGAAACGCCACGAGTGAGGAAGTGAGCCCTGCCAGACGCCGAGTCAGCCCAGACCTCGGGCTTCCGCTTCCAGACCTGTGAGGTACAAATCTCTGCCGTCTATAACCCACCCACCCTGCGGTTCTGTTACGGAAGCCTGATCTGACTAGGGTACGTGTCTTGGGTTTGGCCAGCTCTGGACAATGAAGCCTGAGGTTGGGCAGATCTCTACGAAAGTTCTAATGAAGGCAAGAAAAATCTGAATCCATTCTTGCCACCACGACCCTGCCCCCATCTTCCCCAAACCACATCCCTGAACTTCACTTTTCTGGCTTCTCAGGGAAGCTCACCATGAATGGGTTAGGAAATGCCCAGAGGATTAGTGGAGCACAGTTCTGGCTGTGCCTATGAATGATTGACATGTAGACCAGCAAACAGGAAGGGAGAGCCATCCCAGATGTGGGTGGCACTAACCAATAAGCTTGTAGCTTGGGTGGAATAAAAGGGGGCTGGGGTGTGCCTATTTTGGAGAGTTCCAGACTTCCTGAACCGGTCTGTCCTGTGCTGTCATTGCCTTTGGACATCTTTTCAAAAGCCTCGGCTTCAGACATCAGCCTCCAGGTCTGCAGTTTCTTCAGCCTTCCGATATAGAGTTTCAACAGTGAGCCTGCAGAGAGCCCCCAAGCCATTGACCTCGACTCATGCCACCTTCTTGGCTGAGCAGCTGCTGAATTCTCCCACAGGTGCCATTATAGACACTTCCACTTCTGATCCTTTAAACCAACCCTATAGATCCCCTCGCATGATTATGCATATATTTTCTATTGATTCCATTCCTCTAGAGAATCCTAACACATTCAGAAAACAAAGGCAAAGGAGGACTATAAATGACCATGTTACTATTGAGACGCCAACCCAGCGCCCGGCAGGGAGGTCAAGTGGAAGTGAGAAGCACAGGGTCTGAGCCTGCACTCCCCCCATTGCCTGCGCTCGGCAGGAGCAAACTCAGTGGTGCGGAGCACAGCGGCTCAGCACCTTAGAAACAGCGTCCCCATCAGTGCTCTGACGCTGACCCATCAGGAAAGGAGCTCCTCTCTTCTGATGGGAAAAATGGATCAGCATGGACACCAGATGGTTGTGGCCAAGGAAAATGGACAAACATTATCTGTTTTACATTCATGGCTAAGCTTCCAGAAAGCCTTGTTGAACCAGAAAGAGGTTCAGGATGTAGTCACCCCCTTCTAGACAATTCCCTGCATGTGACTTCCCAGCACTGCCACACTGAGGTCACAAGAACATGCTGCCATATTTTGCATTATACTTTGTACCTCTGGAAGAGTCAGTCCCCAGGCTTGGAGGACCCCAGGTGCTGCCAAGGTGCTGACCACCAGCCCACCCACACCACAGCAGGTTCACCCCTGGGCTGTGGGAGCTCCCACCATGCTGTCAGATACCCCCAATGAGTGCACTGGGAAGGACCCCTCAGCCCTGCAGTTCACTTCCCAGGCCTTCATCCGGAAGTCCTAGACATCAGAGAAACCGCAGTTGAGGAGTATTCTGTGAAATGCCTGGCCACCACTCGCCTACACATCTCAGTTATGAATGATGTGGAAAGACTGAGAAAGTGCTAAAACCACAAGAGGCCAAGGAAATACGGCAAGGAGGTGACATGAGGTGTCCTGGACAGACCAGAGAAGGGGCAGCAGCTGGGATGCTGGTGAGTCCACACCAACTGTCCGTGGTAGCTACTAAGAATGCACCAGTGCTGATCGATTAATTTTGACAACTATGCCACGGTTATTTGGGACACCTCCACGAGGGAGATGAATGAATGGTCTTTAGGAACTTTGTGGTGCTGTCTTTGCAGTCCTTTGATAAACCGAAAATCATTTCTTAAATAAAAGGGTTTTTAAAACTATGTCTATGAAATAACCAGGCATCCTCCTGCCCAGCTTGCTCCTTCCACTCTCTCCTGACTGTGGCTTCACTTATCCAATATCAAAACTTTCACTTTCTGAGGAAGCAGAAAGAGGAGGGACAAAGCTTCAGCCGTAGGTCTTCACAGAGCTGCTAGTTGGGAAGGGGTAGTGCTCTGTGTGCCCATCTATCTGTCTGTCTGTCTGTCTGTCACCTTCTGTGAAGGTGGATGTCAAGCCTGCCAGCCAAAGGATGTTACCACAGTCACAAAAGTCACAACCACGCCAGCCCCATGGGGGGAAACCAAGACACTGGCACTGTCACAGGAGCACGGCTGAAACCCTCAGAGCCACCTCTGTTCATCAGCGTGGTCCTTTATTGATAAATCTAAAAGACAGGAAAGGGTGAGCAGACATTGAGGAAGATCAATACCACAGATGGGACCAAAATGACCAGGCAGACTGCACAGAGCAGCTGTTTCCAAAGGAAACAACCAATTCTGGGAAGAGAACTTTGAAATATTGAATTCATATTCTCACACAGATGGAAGAAGATAACGCAGCTATAAAACAATAGAGCAAGCTGCTCTGGAAAAAAAATGGAAAAATGGGAAGAAATTCTTGGAAATTAAAAATTATTGCCAAAATAAAAAACTTCATAAAGAGCCTGGAGGAGGGGCCAGGGAGATGCCTCAGTAGAGTAAGCGCTTGCCTGGCAAGCACAAGGGCCTGAGTACAATCCCTGGTTCCGCCAAAAAAAAAAAGAGCCTGGAGGAGTAAGTAGAAGAAATCTCATAGAATTCTGCCAGAAAAGACTCAGGAAAATCTGACTGAGCAGCTGAGGCCTGGAATGGTTTTGATACCAACAACGAGGCATGTTGAGCGCTTGCTCTGCGATAAGCACTACACTAGCACAAATGGAACCTTCAGGGCCCTGAACAGGGACTCGCGCAGGATTTCCCTAGCACCCAGGAGGAAGCCGAGGCTCAGAGCTGAGGACGGACCTGCGGACGCCCCGTGGCCACAGCGGAGGAGCTCGGGTCCCAGTCCCCGGGCTGGACC